AACATTATATACAGACCCAAAGGCAACTGTACTGACTACTGGCATAATGTCCTCTGCTTTTAAATTAGGATGGGACACTAGACAGAGGTTGTCACAATATTTGCAGTTTTTTTAAGAAACACCGGCAATAGCTTCACGTGCAAATTCTAACAATAAAGGTGTCCAATTAGGTCAACAGGAGCAGAAAATTATTTCTGTACACGGATATTTTATTGGTTTCCTGTGGCTGCCAAGCAGCACCAGAAAACGCTTGATTACTGACACTTTTTCAGTGATTTCTGGATATAGAATTGGTTTAAATCAGAGCCAATTCCCCTATCAAATATCTGTCCCCTAGTCCCCTTTGTAATAACAAAGGGGACTAGGGGCCAAGGGAATCTTGGCAGTGCCCAGGAGGTGAACTAGCACCTTTCCAGCTACCAGTTGATGCTCCATGGGGCCGTCTGCAGGGACCAAAGGTCACCCACTGACGCAGGGAAGTCTTCACTTGAATTACACAGCAACCCTTCAACATGTGGTTCCAATTTGGCAAAGTGCTGCTGAATGAAAGGGTAGAAAGGATGTTCAATGAACATGCCCTGGTATCAATATCAATACCTGAACTTGTGTATCGGTTGTTAGCGAGTACTGATCCAATACCGCTGCATTGAAAAAAAAAATATTAATAATAACTTAGTAATATAAATTCTCTAAATTCTAATTCACTTTAAAATCAATATTGGCTGATACTGATGACATGCTGTGGTCAGTGAATTCATTTCAAAGAAAGGTTAATGCACGCAGTGCTTTTTTGGCAATCAATCAGTCAATCAATCAATCAATCATTTACTCGTCACATAGAAATTACACAAGGCACAACTCCAGTGAAATTGATTCTGCCACCTCCTTCAACCTGTGAACCATAATTTAGTCCTTTTTTGCATCTTCTTACATTGTGACCAGATGGTTCTGGTAAATCATGGTTTCTGGTTGTGGAATGATTTAACTGTCCACATATCTTGACCTCAATAAGACGCAGGGTCGCTCTTCTTGACAAGCATTGACTCCACAACTGGATCCATTTTTACAAACTGCCTTCACAGCGCTAAGCTTTGAAAGAGCTGCATCATATTGCAATCAACTGTGTTGATCCAATTTTATATATATTTTATATACCACCATTCTCTAAACTCTGGATTCTAAACTGGTGGTTTGCAGTCAGTTGTATAAGTAGGTGGTACAGTTAATTTCCATACATTTGCTGTGTTAACTTGCTGTCTGGTTAGCACAAGTGAGCACATCGCATAGTTTTCCCCATCTATTTCACCAGGACACCAAAATGTTTTGCTGTACTGTTTTCTGGGGTGACAGGGCATGAAGAGTACTGTAATCTTAAACTAGCTTTATTATGCTGTCGACTTAGCTTTGATTCATCCACTAAATGACCATGGAATAGCCTGAGTGATAAAGTCTTAAAGGAGCCCAGTCAGAGTAATTTGCATCTGTCTGACTGTAGCCTATACAGTCAACACATCTGTAAAATCATTGTAATTACCAAAGCAGAATCACAACCTTTGAGCTTAAACATTCTTGAGCCTTATATCCAGGTAAAGGTGTTTGATGTACTGTATCTCAGGCAGAATGTGAGAGACATGTGGAATCTGACCAATGCTCAGATCCTGTGGAGATGGAAGTGTAGTTAGAGTGGAAAATCTGCCTCGTTGTCTGACCTCATGTACCTTAAAAACTTCCTCTGTGGGAACTATCCCTCACATTTTCCAGGGAGGGACATTTGGCAGAGGTGATTTTAAAACTGACACAGCTGTACAAAGTCAAGCTCATAGTGGCCAGATGTTTGGAAACTTTGTGCCATGGAGGCACAGGATTCAGGAGGTTTTCCTTTTAACCAAAGGCTTGGTTTCAACTATTTGCATGCATCCAACCAAAGATGTGATCCACTTATTCCATGCGTGCAGAGCATGGGCCAAAGACTACCCCAGAGCTGAGTGGGCGAGGGGCTGACAGGTCATTGGTCTGTCACTTGACTGACCAACAATTCAGTCACATTTACACCTACAGGTACTTTAGAGTCACTAATTTATGAGGAAACCCACACAGACATGGGGGGAACATATTAACTGAATACTGTTAGAGACCAGGTACCTAAAACATTCATTCAAACAGTGAATCCTTGCATAAACTGTATCCAAAATATTTGCTTCATGAAAGATTATTATAAGCCAAATGGATAGCTACCGACTGCTTAGTATCTTAAATAATGATTAGAAAATCCTGGCAAAAGTATTAGCTCTGCGTTTGGAGAAAGTGGTCCCTTCTCTAATTCATTTAGATCAAGTTGGATTTATTCCGGGACGCCTCTCTGCCAATAACATGCGCAGACTTTTACATGTTATAACAGCTGCAAAACAATTAGATGCTCCTGTAATTGCTGTGTCTTTAGATGCTATGAAGGCATTCGATAGAACTGAATGGCCTTTTCTCCTAGCCACACTCTCCAGATTTAATTTTGGATCTCAATTCATACACTGGGTAAAGGCACTTTATAACACACCAGTATCAAGTGTGAAAACTAATGGGCTGAAATCAGCATTATTTAATCGGCATTGTGGCGTCCATCAGGGATGTCCCGTCTCGTCTTTATTATTTGTCCTCGCCCTGGAGCTACAAGCCTGTACTATATGCGCTAATAATAATATTACAGGAGTCTCTATTTGTGATTTTAGCTTTAAAATGTATTTGTACGCGGATGATATCTTGGTCACTTTAAGTAACCCCTCAGTTTCATGACCAGCTCTTCTTGATATGGTTGAATCCTTTAGTCATCTCTCTGGGTACAAGATAAACTGGAGTAAAAGTGAAGCAATGCCACTGAACCAACATACATCACAATCTGATTTAGCTGGAAGACCTTTTGTATGGAAAAGTAATTGTATGAAATATCTTGGTGTTATTATTACCTCATCTATTGCTAAAATTTTCCACTTGAACGGGCCTAATTTATTAGCTAAAATTAAAGATGACTTAAATAGATGGACAGTATTACCCATCACACTTTGGGGAAGGGTGGAAATTCTTAAAATGAATATCTTACCCAGAATTACATATGTAATTTCGGCTATTCCATACCATTTCCCCTTTTCTTGGTTCAAAAAAATTTATTCACTGTTTACCCAGTTTATCTGGAATAAAAAGAAACCCAGAATAGGCCATAAGAAACTTTCAGTATTAAGATCACAAGGTGGCATTGGTGTACCAGATGTATATCGTTATTATCTATCATTCAATGCAAGGTATCCCATGGTGTTGGCTTATAAAACATACTTTAAGAAGGGCAGCTGGGAGTGGCTGGAGGAGATGCTTATTTCTAAAGCTGGCCATACTTCGGCTGCCTCGTTGTGGTACTCTGCTAAACCTCCAGCAACTCTCAAAAACTCCTTAATTAATTTTTCTTGCTCCATTACAAAAATGCTACATAATAGACTGAAAGTGAATGGATTATTATTACCATCATGTCCGATTTGGTCCAATATATTATTGACTGCCGGAGGGACTCCATTGAATAACAAACTGTGGCAACAACTTGGGGTTCTCACTGTAGGACAATTATTCAGTGATAATGGCATCCGCTCCTTCGCTGAAGTGAGAGGTGAATTTAATATTACAGAGTCATCATTTTTGGTTTATCGTCAAATTAGATCTGTTATTTATAAAAGAATACATGGTAACACTACCCTCTCATTTAAGCATGAATTAGACCGAAGCTTAATACAAGCTGTCACAAAGCGTGGTATAGTCTCTAGCATATATAAACTTCTATCCCTTGCCCTACCTAATCCATTCATTTCCACTCATCAGGCATGGGATAGTGATCTTCATACCTCACTCACTCCTGAACAGTGGAATAGTATCTGGAGGAGGGGTATATTATCATCCAGATGTGTGAGATATAGGACTATACAATTTAAAATATTGTGTAGATCATATTTGTCCCCCTTTCACTTGTCTAAAATGGGTAGAGATTTGTCAGATAATTGTTGGCATGGCTGCGGAGGGCGTGGAACTTTTATACATCTTCTAGGGGACTGCCCTGCAGTTAGGACTTTTTGGTCTGGAGTTGTTAATGTTTTAACAGACATATTAGAAGTCAAAATATCTGCCTGTCCTATCACATGCATTCTCGGTCATAGACCTGACCATATAAAATCAAAATCTGTGCATGTCCTTCTGACTATGGGCTTCCTTGCTGCAAAGAGAATCATTGTCATGAATTGGAAGACTCATAAGCCTTCTTGTTTGGCTTTGTCTGGATGGCTCAAAGACTATTTGGATTTATTAAGTATGGAACTTGCTACTAACTTACTTCTGGACTTTGATAAAGGATTACAAGGACACTGGGATACCGTACGTGCTTTTATTGACTCAAATAGACATTATACTAATATGATTTTATAATACCCTAAAACCATGCTTTATTATGATTTAAAGCCTGTACCAGGTACCATACATGATTTGTGAACCTGTGCATATGTATATATGTATATGGTTGTGTGTATATATCTGTATATGATCATATATGTATACATATGTGTGATTATGTGTGTGTGTGTGTGTGTGTGTGCGTGTATGGTCGTGTATGTATGTGTATATGCGACCATGTTTGTATGTATACGATCATATATATGATCCTCATCTATTCTTCTAATTTATTGCTGTCTTATATTGTTGTTTTTTTTCACTTTTTATTTCTATTTTGATGTGTTGGTATGTCTGCTTTGTGTTTATAATTTAAAAAATGTAAAAAAAAAAAAAAAAAAAGATAAGCCAAATATAATAAGCCATATAATGCACTGCACATTATCACTGCATCCAGTCAAGGCATTATATTGGCATTGGGTATGTTCGAGGGAGAGTGTTCAGTTTACCTCCTTCACACCAAAAGTGCAAAAAGTCAGCAGTCACTTTACCACATGCAGGTCTCATAAGGGGTCTGGTCTACTTACTGGGGGTCCTGTAAGACAATGACAGAGAGAAAGAGACAACAGTTTTAGATTTATGTAACACTGGTTACATTCAGATAGTTTGAATACCTCAATGCCATACTTATTGTTGGTTGATGGTGGATAAAATACTGTGAAAATTGAGCTGTGGGCTCCAATTTTGCCTAAATGGTCTGGAGCCACTGTCCAGTTGTCCAGCCAAGACTGTGAAGCTGAAGCCACCTTTACATGTTTCAGAATATTCTCAGCAGCCTACAGGTATTTTGTTGTTCAAGAGGAAAGCAGAAATGTACACTTCCACATCAGAACTTACATTTCAAAGACAGAGTAATTGGGGAGTAATACGGGATGGTTATAACAGCCCCACTTTCACCAAGAAGGGATGACCTATGGGTCATGTAATGCATTTATTGTATGACCCCTTCCTTCCTGACCTTGTGTGTGAAATTTCATTGCTGTGTGAAGAAGTATGCAGATTTAACTGCCAAAATACTGATTTTCAGGTATTAAAGTTATTCTTTGGACCAAGTCTATATTTTGATTAGTACTGATACTGATGGAATTTGAATGATGTAACTTGCATTAGATTAGAGAGTAGTATCTTGGGTAAAATGTGAGGCATTTCATCTTTAAACATTTCAAACCATCATGCTGCTACAGCTACCTAAACACTGGCTGACAGGGGTGGAGATAGTTGTAACACTTTTTTAAAAAAATGTTAAAACTACCCCCAATGACAACTAAACACATTTCTCTATCTCTCTTACTCCTTTTCTCAGCATGCCAGTAGAGTTGGTGAAAAAAAAAACTGAAAGGAGTGAGCTTGTGTATAGGAAAGACCCCAAAAGTCCCCAATGAATACTCTGCCATGTGACACTTAGATGATACTGCAAACAAGTAAAAATAAACTTAACAAAATATAAATACAGAATGTCAGATAAAGAATAAATACAGCTGCCCTGTGTGGGGAACACAGCAGTCAAAAAGTCTTCAATGTGCAGCAAGAGGTTGTCTGACTGGTAACCTGACTGAGACAGCAGACTTGTATTTTGGACTCATTCCATGTGAGGTACTGAGCATCTGACAGGTACAGGTTAGACCTTAGTAAGAAGTGGTTATTAGTGTATGTATCAGTTCTTCATGTGCAATTTTTTGTGATTGTGCAATTTTTAATTTTTATTGTTACAACTTACCACTGTGGTGGGACAGTTGTTTGACATCAATTAATGAATTCTGTGATATAGTTGGCGAAGTTGAAAAATATGCTATTTGTAGTTGAGAAAATAGGGTGCTGTCTACTAAAGGTTGAGAACTCACAACACAAAATTTCAGCAAGTTAAAGGTCCTGAGACAAAAAGGGTCACAACCATCCCCAGTCTCCCCTACAAACTGATGCGTTTCATCTATTTCCTCAAATAACAGCAAGACACTGGCAATTATTCCCCAGACACAGCAAAGCTAGGCCATGTTTTCAAAGACTAGTCATGCTCAACCACTGAGACATAAACCACAGTATCAGTTTCATCATTTTAGGGGTTTTGACCATTGTGCATCGGAAAGGCTCCATGTGTGGTCCCCCGAGGCAGCCACAGTAAAATCTGAAAACATTTCACTACCCTTGCAGTGTTGGAAATAGTCTTGCTTTATCATTAGATGACAACATATGGAAAAACAGAATTTAAACTATGGTAATTCTATTTCTCTTACTTAACTCTGACCATACTTTGCCTCACAATCACCCGTCTGCCTCCAAATTGTTACCTGAGGCTGGTACTGCATGCACATTAAAGCTTATGGCTGCTAGTGATGGAGACAAAAAAATGAATGTGGGCAGAAAAAAAATCTGCAGGTTTATACAGTTGATAAAAATCAGTAAATAGCAAGGCTGTCTTTCTTATTACTCTATATTCATGTAATACAAATAACAATTAGAATGTGATCTGCATGAGAAATAAAGACAAAGGAAAAAAAATCAGTTATAATAATCTGCTTATAGTGATCAATTTGACTCAGACAGATGTGATCACTATTAGCAGTTCCCACTACATGTGCCTCCGCTTTATAAGGAAATGGGAGAAAAAAGTGCTGATGAAACAATAGTTCGTATTTCTGCCCCAGCTGGCCTTGCCCTGAATATGATTACATGTCTTGGTTTGCTTTCCTCTTCTGGTAAATCTATCCTCTAAAATCTCAGTGCCACTTGGACAAGATACTGACTCTTCTTTTGTTTTGTTTTTCCAGCTGAGGAACATGCTAAACTTAAGGCCCGAACATACTCGGGCGGAACATATGCGGAATGGACTCTGCAAGGAATGTCCGCAGTCATTCGGGCTTTCATAGTCGAGCGCACTTCCACGTTGTAGTTTCCTGTAAAAATGTCCGTGAAAAATCCCCGCGATGTGAATAATACATGCTGAGCAGTCACTGGTGCGCGGCGCAGAGTCCACGCGGTCGTAAAATCTGAGCTTTGTGCGCACAGGGCTGCGTGGTCCTCCACGGAGTCCGTTCTGCGTACGTTCCGCCCGAGTATGTTTGTCCTTTAGGTCAATTCAAGCTGAGCTGGAAATAATCATTCAACATAAATACTTCTCTGTACTCCCTGTTCACCTGTCTTGGTGGACATTCACACACAACCCTGCTTTGATACTTGGTGGTGTTTTGTTGATCCAGTAGCTAAGTCCAGTTTATTTAAAGTACTCACAGAAATGATTCTCTGGAAAAGTTTTATGGTGGCAGCTTTTTCATCTTCTGTCGCACCAGTCACAAGGTAAACCATAGATATACGTGTTCATGTTACAAAGTAATCCATCAGGAATTTGCATAAATATTGTTATTTTGCTGCAAAACTACAGGTACAGTAACAGTATTGGTATTACTCTTGGTCAAACTGCTCATTTATGTGAAATCCTCTTCTACGAAAGACTTAAATGTCATGTAAATTCATTGAGAAACTGGGTTTATAAGTATCCCCGGACAGGGACATCTTGTCAGACTTTAACCAAACCATATGGGAGGGATAGACGGTCAGGTCCAGCCCATGACTCACAGTCACAGCCCCGTAGAATAGGCCTTTTACAAAAAAAAAAAAACAATATCCTTCCCCTTTGCCTTTTAGCAAGCACAAAGAGGTCAATCGCACAAAATCAATTACTGCTAATTCCAGACAAGTGCTACTAAAGATGTTATGTCAATCACAGCAAGGTGGGAAAAATACTGATGACAAATCTCCTCCGTGAAATGTCAGATCATATCCCCTGCTTTATCTTTCCAGCAGGTTTATTGCGTCTGCTCCTCAAACTGCTCCATCCCAGCCCGGATGCCTGCTGTCAGCTCCACTTCTTCATTTTGTACTCACATAAAATGAAAAGCAGTTGGAAGAAAAAACAAGAGCATTCAGGGGATGAGGGGATTTTATGTACAACTCAGATAGGTAACAGCTTGGTAAAAATAAGAATGAAATAGCGATTCAGAGTTTTAGTGTTAGGTTACAGTCAAAGGATGTGTAATATATATTACTTAAATTTCCTCAAAGCGTAGAGGAGACAGATTTAAGAGAAGCCCTGCATGAATTATTTAATAAAACTGACCAGAGGGAGTGCAGAACATTTAGTCACCCCTCCAGCCGCAAGTACCGCTTTAACATGAGCAAAAACATGTAATAATAGTAATCCATGGTGTAGACACAATATCTTTAAGCATGGTTCTTGTTGCAATTTGAGCAGTGACTTGGTTTATATTTTTGAATGGGCTGTGCTGTTTTCATCACAATGACATGGGGGCAAACAAATGTCAAGCAAATGTGCAACTTGGAAATTACAGCTGATGTGTATTTGCATATTTGAGGGACAAACACTCAAAGAATTTCCTTGGTCTTTATCACATCATCTTTTTTTACTGATGTTGATGAGGACAAAAACTGATTTCAACCTAATCATATAAAGGTCTTCCCGCTTTTAGAAATGTTTAGTCATCATTTACCTATGATGCATTTTCATTTAAAGCAGCTGTGCGGAACTTTTTTACCATTTATAAAACTGTCCCTAGTTCGTATCACCCCCCCTTGAAGATCTGCATATTTATTTGAACCCAAAAGCAACAAAAAAGCCTTTCTCTACATGGCTATTTAGCGTAGCCTTGGTCGGGTCGGGCACAGCAGAAGTCAGCAAACCAGAATATGTCACCTGGAGGCGGAAGTAAGTCTACACACCTGCAGCGGCCCGCAGCCATTAAACCATAGAAGAAGAAAGAGCCGTGTTTACAAGTAGGATTAAAGAAACAGGCTAAATGACATGTAGTAGGGAGTAGTGAATGATTTCGGTTCATGACACACTTTGTTTTGCTCTACAGGCAGTGCACAACAGCGAACCTAGCGGTGAAACGATTTCGCTTATTGCCCCTTTAAATAAAAAGCCTTGTGGTAGTCGTGTACCACCCCACCTGGCAGCAGTGGCCTATTTCATCAAAACCTCTGCTCTTGCTACTGTCAGGCCAGAATTTCTCTTTCGTACACAAGAAATATAAAAATCTAACATGCAAATTGAGATAAAATTAATTATATGGTGTTTGACATTTTAAGATATTCACATAAAATCAATGTTAACTTTATTATCCTAAGAATTTCCATGATATTCAACCCCATTCATAATTCAAATTCCAGCAAATGATCCAAAGTTTGAGCCAGGCACAATTCAGTATTACCACCGTGGATGACTGTCTTCATTAGTCTTTAATAAATCAATGTGCCACAAAGAACAAATGTCAGAAGTACAAAATATTTAATGCATTTCCTGTGAGGTGCGTTTGTGACTCCTAGTAGTCCAAACAGGTTTCATCTGAAGCTAAACTGTGAGGCCCGTATGACATAAATACACTCAAAATGTTAGACTATAACTTTAAACCAACAACTGCTACTTTATTCATTACACAATACAAGCACCCACAATCTTACCATTTGTGAGGTTTCTGTTATGTGATGTTATCTACATAATGACGTTTCAGTTACAGCAGGGCA